CTGGGTCTGTTTAGCTTGGAGAAGGCAAGACTCAGAGGGGATCTCATCAATGCTGCTAAATATCTACAGGGCGGGTGTCAAGAGGATGGAGCCAGGCTCTTTTCAGTGGAGCCCAGCAACAGGACAAGGGGCAGTGGGCACAAACTGGAACGTGGAAAATTCCATTTCAGCATGAGGAAAAACTTTTTTGCTTTGAGGGTGCCAGAGCACTGGAATGGGCTGCCCAGAGGGGTGGTGAACTCTCCCCTGGAGATATTCAAAACCTGCCTGGATGTGTTCCTGCCCAATCTGCTCTAGGTGAACCTGCTTTGGCAGAGGGGGGTCAGATTAGATGGTCTCCAAAGGTCCCTTCCAACCCATGGCATTCTGTGAATGGCTACTGAGGTTGGGCAGTTGAAGGAATGCTCTTCTTTCGCCACCAGCTATAGGGACCTCTTGAGAGCTGACACATGTTCTGGAAGTGTTGGCCATGTCCCTCTAGAGGCACGGGAGAGTCAATAAGTTGCTGCTGGGATGACCTTGCTTTGCAGGAAATCTGGAATGACCTGTTTATCTCTCAAGACCAACGCAAGTTGAAACAGGACCCAATCTGAAAGAGTCTGACCCTGTGCCCTCTTTTCTCAAATTATGCTGTTACCAGTCCAGTGAAGTTGTATTTGAAAATCTTAGGCTTCCTTGCAGAACCCATTACACTACTACTTACAGTTTTTCTATTTTGACTATTTTAAACAACATTTTAGGTTTTCCAGTCAAGACATGATTAATGTAACCTTTAAAGACATATAACTCATCTGCCTTATGTGTTAGACTAAAGCATTTCCTTGTTTCCTGTAAACAAAGCAACAGTAAATATCTTGTCTTTCTCTTTCCTTATTCTGTGTTTCTCTGTTCGTCTTTATCTGTCACTGAGCTTGAACTCATGTTCCTTCTGGTTCTGGAGTTACTTCAGTAGTTTCCAGTTGCATTCCCAGACCTTCACATCCTTCTCTCCCTTCAGTTCCTCAGACCGTCTTTGTACTCTCCTGTCTTAGTTTTTCTCTTGCTTGCAGCCCTCTCCTGGCCCTCACAGTTCAGTTTCCCTTACAGCACTGTTGTATGACTTCTCCAGCAGTACGACTTCGGAGAGTGGCTCAGAGCCCTCAGTTAGTCAGCTGCTATGTGCACCCCAGCCAGGCTGATGGGTGCTTCATATTTTTTAAAAACATCTCTGGAAGAGGAATCATTATGCATATGTTAAGATGCAAAGTTTAGGCATTGTTGGAAATAAGCTATAATCACCCTCAGTGAATGCATTTCAGTGTGACAGATTACATTGCTTAAACATGCTACCTCTCTGTATGGGTAAATGTACCACATTAAAAATATGTTTTTATTCCTGTCAGGTGTCTTTAGGTTCCGTTGTTCAGTTCGAGAAGGGAAATTTCTCCTTGTCAGCAGAAATGGAAGAAAAGCTTTTTCCTGAGAAAAATGAACATCTGCTACAGTGGGCCCAGAAGGAATATGGAGCAGTAACATCTTTCACTGAACTCAAAATATCAAGAAACATCTATATTAAAGTAGGAGAAGGTAAACCAAAGCAAAACCAACAGAATTGATAGGTACTTCTAGATGGTGAGAATAAGTCTTGCTGTAGTATTATTTCATGGGTTTTATTTTATTCTTTAAACATACCTATCATTTTCCAAGAGATGTGGTATGAGCTGCCATGATGGACATGAGCCGGCAGTGTGTGCTGACAGCCTAGAAGGCCACCTGTATCCTGGTCTGTATCCAGAGCAGTGTGGCCAGCAGGTCGAGGGAGGGGATTCTCCCCCTCTACTCTGCTGTTGTGAGACCCCACCTGCAGTTCTGTGTCCAGCCGTCGGGCCCTCAACATA